CTTACACTGCACCAGTGGAGCCTGGGGTGGCACCTGTGAGCACCACTCTTGCCAGAAAAGAGGGCAGGGTTGTTGTAACTGTTGCTCCTGTGAGAAGAAATTAGAAAAGATGCTGGGCTGGGCTAGATAAAGGAACAACGTGGGGAAGCAGCAGTAGAGCGTGGTGTTTGAGAGCATGGCACAGGCATCAGGCTGTCTGGGTTCAAGTCCCAGCTCTGCAGTCACTGGATATGTGACCTTGGACAAGTTTTCTAACTTCCTTATTGCATTATTTTTTCATCTGTAAGATGGGGATGCTAATAACAGTAGATAATAATAATAGCAGTAATAATAATTCAGAGGGTCCCTGAAAGGACTAAATGCTACAACACAGGTGAAGAATTTAATATAGTACCTGACTTGCCACATGTTAAACCTTAAATCAATGATCTTGATAACCGTTATTAACCAGAATCATTTGGAAAGATTGCAGCTCAGAGCACGGGAGGAAAGAAACACTTTAAGTGCTTTATGTCTAGTGACTCATTTTAACCTTGATCACAACCATGAGAGGTAAGAATTACCGTTATACCCATTTTATGAATGAGGATAAAGAAGCTTCGTGGGATTAAATGGCTTGCCTAAAGCCCCATACCTAGCAAGTCTTAGAGCCAGAATCAATTTCCATTTTGTTGGGTGCTAATCCCGCACTCTTTCTACCATGTTTTGCTGATATCCAGGGCCAGACTGAGATATGTAGAGAGCCTGCCCACCATAATCGTATCCCCATCTCATGTAAAAATAAAAACACTTAAAAATCAAAGCAAGTGTAAGAAAGGCCAACAGCTGCTTATTTTCTCAGATGACTATAATTTTTAAAAGAAATATCAGATTCTTTCCAAACATTTGTTCAATGCTCCCGTTTGGGTGCCATAAGCACATGCCTGATTGGCTTATCCAGTGTCTGAAGATGGAGCATTATTAGGAGGCAATGTCTGGTAGCTTCCTGCCTGTCCTCCCTAACTTCAGAGGCGGCTTACCCTGGTGTGGTGAGGAAATTGTGCGAGTTTTAGGAGGTGCTATGTAAATTGCACTAATACTAGCAAGTTATTATTAATAGCACTGATGATATCAATATAAATAACAGTGGCAGCCATTTATTACACATGTATGTCAGGCACTTTACAAACACTTTCTCATGTAATTCCCACAATGACTCTGACTGTTTTACCAGTGAGGAAACTGTTCGTGGAAAGTTAAGTTATATCCTAAAGGATATACAGTTAGTATCAGACTTGAGATCAGAACATTGCTGTCTTATTCCTAAACTCTTCCACTGCACAGAGCTGTTCAGAGTCACCCAGTGAGTGAGTGATGGCACAGGAACTGGGCTAAGTACAGTCAGGGGTCTTTCCGTTGTAGCTCCCTCCTTCTTGAAGGGTCATCCACAAAAGTTGTCCTATAACCAGGAGATAATGAGAGCCCCTCAACCTCTCTTCCAAACAACCCATCTCAAACGCATTTTGTGTTTTGTGGGGCCCGTATTAAATAAGGAGTAGGATGGCTGTGAGGAGGTGGCATGTATGGCTTCAGGAGAGTCGAGAAGGAATAGACTTTTTTTCTCTATGGTATTTAGGAAGATCTTTACCTCCATAAAAGCTATAGTCTAAGGAATAATGCCTGCAAGGCAAACCAAAAAGCACCCTTCTTCGGCTACAACTCTGCGTGAATGTTATCATCGGCAAAGGGTGGTGGGCAGAAGTGTGGGCTCTGGAAGCAAATTACGAGGGCTTGAAACACAACTGTGCCCACATGCTAGCTGCATGCAACCTTAAGAGAGTTTCTTATCAGGACATAGTAATAATATCTATCTCCTATTTGTTGTGAGCATTCAATCAAATAATGTATGCAAAGTTATTTAGTACAGTGAGGTACACATAGAAAGGATTCAAAAGATATCATCATTATCACCATCATCATCCTTTACTTAATGCTCTTTGCTTAATTTCACTGTCTTATGTATTAAACCAGCTAAAATTTTATTGAGTTTATACTGAGTTTATATTGAGTTTATCAATTTTATTGAGTGTGATACTATATTCCTCTCAGTAATGGTTATGGTCCTTTTAATACAGGATGAGTTGAGAAAAATCCAACTAAATAGTATTAAACTAATAAATGGTCCATTTTATCCAAAAGAACCAGGTTTCACCCTGTGAAATAAGAGGGAAAAAACCTCTTCAGTGGTGGTAGGCTTTTAGTATTTGTGGTACATTGCTGGATTGAATGGACTATAACATTTATCTATGTAGTCACCTCTCCATGCATCCATCCACTTGTCCATTTAGAAAGCACTTGAGGAGTACCCTCTGTATTCAAGGAACTGAGCTAAATACTTGAGGTCACCATAGCTATGCAACAGGAAGAGGTATAAGTAGCAAAACTGTGAACTATCACAGGGAAGCTGTCACAGAGTATAAATTCTTACAAGGGTAGTCAGAGCCGCTAACAACCAAAGGATAACTCCATAATGGCCCCGATGCCAAGCCCTTTAGCCCTGGGCCCCAAAAGGGTTAGTCGCCAAGATTTAGAGTAAAGGGCAAACACTAGAGTTTTAATTCAAAGTGGTAAGTAAGATTAAGAATAGGGTAAATTATAACTAAGGAAGGGTTAAGCATTAGTGAAGAAGGTACCCAAATGTACACTTTGATATCTTTAAAAGAGTCCAAAATATTTGCCTTATATATGTATTTATAATATATGTGTGTATATATTTGTATTAAAGTATAACACACATATATCTATAAAAATGGACACATCGTAACTATACAGTTTCAATAATCTCAACTTCATCTCATGTAGCCACCATCTACACCAAGAACTAGAACTTTCCTGCCACCCAGAAGTCCCCTCATACCTCTTCCTAATGGCTACCCTCTCACTCTTCCCGGGGTAATAATCAATACTCTGCCTTCTAACAGCAGAGATTTGTTTGCCTGTTTTTGGACTATGTACATGAAATTATACAGAATCTATTGTTTTGTGTCTGGCTGTGCAGCTCAACGTTATCTGTCTCATATGAAAATGTACTCAGTTTCCTCAGGCACCAGGAAATAGAAATTAAAATCACAAGAAGATTCCACAACATCTGGTGTTGGTGAGGAGGTGGAGCACTGGATCTCTCACACCCTTCTGGTGAAGAGGAAATTGGTAAATCACTTTGGGAAACTGAATGGCAGTATCTCCTAAAAGCTATTTATTGGCTTTCTGGACATACTCTTTTGTGGTGCTTATTTTAAGATACTAGAAAAAGAATTAAAAGACAGCAAAACAAAGCATAAAGAGGGTCGTGAATTAAGATAAAAGTCAAAATTAACCAAGTAAGAAAACAATCAGAGAAAGTAAAAATAAAACCAAACCTAGTTCCTTCAAAACTACTATAATGCTCGTAACACCTTATAAAGCTGTTTTAAGATGAAAGAGAGCCAGAGACAGACAGACAGATAAAATGCCCAAGATTAGGAATAGGAAAAGAGAGAAAATAACATAAAGAGAAAATGAATCATAAAAGAGTATTAGAATGAAACAGGCTAGTGAGTTCAGAAACAGATCCATACACATTTGGATACTTGATTTATAACAAAAATGGCATGGGCGAGAAGTGAGGGAAGGACAATGTTTTCCATAAATGATGCTGGGTCAGCTGGGTAGCCAGATGGAAAATGTGAATCTTGACTGCTATCCTGCGCCATGCACAAAATCAATTCTAGATGGGTCATAGATATAAATGTGAAAGGTAAAACAATAAAGCTTCTGCAAGATAACCTAGAAGAAAATCTTCATGACCTTGGGATAGGCAAAGACTTCTCAAACAGTTTACAAAAAGCTCCAGGTATAAAGGATAAGATTGATAAATGAGTCTGATAAATGAGTCTGTTAAAATTAGGAACTTTTATTCATTGAAAGACATCATTACGAGAGTGAAAAAGCAAGCCATAGAATACAAGAGATTTTGCAATGCGTATTACCAAATTGCATCCAGAATATATAAATAATTACTACAAATCAAAAAGAAAAAGACAGATAAGCCAGTAGAAAAAGGGCTGAAACAAAAAATATATATATCTTTCATAATAAAGAAAGTGAGGAAGAGTGCTAACGTCTTTTCTAGGCAAACACATCTACGGTGAATTTTCTTTGTTTAGGACTTGTGACCACTATTTAGTGGCAGCACACCCGCTGGAGGAGGGTGACAGAGAGAAAAGGCAGCTGGAACTATAAAAACTAAAATTATGAAGTGACAGCTTTGGCCACAGACTAAGTTAAAATAAATGTGTTGGCCGGAGTCAGGCAGTTTAAGGGAAACGGAGCAAACAACTTGCCTCAGAGAAAACAGCTGCTGGCCTAACTCGCTCAATGTCTTAATTAAAGTGGCACCCGTAATAGATGCTTCTGAGACATGGCCTACACAGAAGAGGAAACAGAAGCCTGTTCCTGCAACTGACATCAATTAGCTGCATCCCAAAACTGACCATCCATGCCACGATGGCACCTGTTTCCTACATGGTACAGCAGTCACACCAGTGTTCTCTTACCCAAGACCCCCATGTACAAAGGCTTGCTATTCTTTAGCATCTCAGCTGAAGCTGCTTTGCGAAGGAATCATCTACCCAGATCAACCACTGATGGACTGGCTCAGTGCAGCATTTTACCTGTGATCCAAGAATGACATCTTCAGCATGGACTGGTAGAGAGAACACCCTAACAAACATCCCATTTGATTCTCTCGACTACCGGGTGATGTGGACATTATTCCCCACACTTGATAGATGAGAAAATTGAGGCCCGAGGAGTTAAGTGCTTAATGCGAAGAGAACACAGTTAATAAGTAGATGAACCAGTGGTCTACTCTGAGGTTTTCTGGGTCCAAACCCTGTGCTCTTTCCATGCGACCACACTGAGTGATTGGGGGCTGAATGGTGAGGGGTAGATGAATAGTGATAATGCAAGAAATCACGTACCTGAAATACCAAAACCAATGATGAGCGCAATTGCTGCAGCCAGAATAATGATGATGCTAATAATGCTATGGAGAGATAGAGAAACAGGAAATTACTTCTTCATTCCATTTGACATGCTGCTTTGTGACCTGGGTTCATGTCTGTCATTTGTAGGAGGTGTCACATAAACCATCTCAACTTTTCTTCAACGTAAACTCCTTCCTAGAAACAGGTACCTTAGAAAGGAATCTCAACAATTCCATCCCCAAGGAGTGGCCTTTTTTTGCTGAGGAAGATTAGCCCTTAGTTTACATCTGTTGCCAATCCTCTTCTTTTTTTGCTTGAGGAAGATTAGCCCTGAGCTAATATCTAGGCCAGTCTTCCTCCACTGTATAGGTAGGTTGCCGCCACAGCATGGCTGTCGAGTGGTGTAGGTCCGCGCCTGGGATCTGAACCCATGAACCTGGGCTGCCAAAGTGGAGTGTACTGATCTTAACCACTATGCCATGGGACGAGCCCCAGGAGTGGCCTTTTATCCAACTGTATGCATCATTTTACTTTCCTATTTCCAGATCAGGAAACACCATAAACAAAGACTTTTGGGGCAAAACTGATGACATCTCTGTAATGCCAGGTGCCGCTTGAGGGGGACTGTTTCATACGCAGCCCACCCTGAGCATTACTGCCCATCCATCTTGTATCACTAATCTACCTGTCTTTCTCCTTCCACAGACTTTAAACTCCACCGAGGACGATGGTTGTATCTTCACTTTGTGCCCACTCCTCCCTTGTCCCCCGCACCCCACAGATCCTCAACAGGAGTTTGTGTTCTCTTATTAAAAAACTAATACATATTTGTTACAGGAAGTTTAGAAAATACAAATAACCCAAAATAGGACAATAAAATCACCGGTAATTCCATCATCCAGAAACAACCACTGTTAACTTTTTGATATGCATCCTGCTAGTTTTCAATGAACAGATTAACAAGTGACATTTGGGAAATAAACAAATAGGGAAGTATTGCTTGCGTCTACTGAGCGCTAGAATTACGGGGCAGACATGTTCCAGGCACCATTTATGGATTATACCATTTATCTGTTTGATAACCTTATGAGGTTAACAGATCTATCATCTCCATTTTACACATGAGGAAATTACCCAGGGAGATTAAGTACCTTCCCTACATTCACATGGTTGGTAAGTGGCAGACCTGGCGTTAGAATCTGTCTCTGGAATCTGCACTTGACTACTTCCTACACTGCCTCCCAAGGCTGGAGCCTCCTAAATGGGGCGTGTCCCTTCTCTCTCCCCAGCGGAACCCATGAGGGGACACCAGCTTAGTTTGTGAGAGTGACGCAGGCAGAACAGAAGGCCCAGGTCAGAGCTGGTGTGTTGGCAAAACGGTTCCTGGGAAGCTTGCCCATTGCTGCCTGCCCTGTGCCTCAGTCATCAGGCAGGTGGCCCCGGCCACACTCTCTCATTGCTGGCAGTTCACACACTCCCCACACCCACACTGATGCTACTCAACAGGCAGGACAAAAGAAAGGCGCAGGGAGGCAAAGAATGACGCTACAGAGAGAAAAGGGAAGCATGAGGCATTTTACTTTCTGCCCTGAATAGGCTCATTGTACCTAGCTCCCCTGGGCTCAGGGGTGGGCCCACCAGAGAGAAACAACAGACTTACAAGAAACAGTTTGAGTAAACACTTTTCCTGGAGGTCAAGCCCTTGGGAGGCGCAGCCATGGGGGCTGCGATTGAATAAGCAACATGAACCTTTTACTAACAGGGCATCTGCAATTACAAGAGGAGATCTCACTTGACCACTTCCCCTCTCTTCACACAGCTCAGTGCGGCCTCAGTTCTTACTGGTCCGAGTGTGTGAGAACAGCTAGACAGACTCTTTTTTTTCTTTTTTCTGGGAAGATTTGCCCTGAGCTAACTACTGCCAGTCCTCCTCTTTTTGCTGAGGAAGCCTGGCCCTGAGCTAACATCCATGCCCATCTTCCTCTACTTTATACGTGGGACGCCTACCACAGCATGGTGTGCCAAGCGGTGCCATGTCCGCACCAGGGATCCGAACCGGTGAACCCGGGGCCGCTGAGAAGCAGAACGTGCGAACTTAACCGCTGCGCCGCCAGGCTGGCCCCTAGACAAACCCCTAGCAAGAGGCACTGGCTGCCTCTCCTCGGCTACTGAGCCAGAGAGCAGACTTGCATTGGTGACCCAGGGACTCACTTACCTTGGGTAAATAACTTATCCCTCTGAGACTCAGTTTCTTTATCCTTAAAATGGGAATAAGAGTAATTCCTACTTTACCTGCTATAAAGATGCTGTGGGTTGAAGTGTACCTGTTCAAAATTCATATGTGGAAGTCCTAACCCCTAACCCCACTACCTCAGAATGTGACTCTATTTGGAAATAGGGTTCTTGCAGATGTAATTAGTTAAGATGAGGTCATACTGGAGCAGGGTGGGTCCCTACTCCAGTATGACTGATGTCCTTGTAAAAGGGGGAAATTTGGACACAGATTTACACATGCACAGAGAAAACACCATGTAAAGATGAAAGCAGAGATCTATAAGCCAATCAACACCGAAGACTGCCCACCCACCAGAAGCTACGGGAGAGCATGGAAGAGATTCTCCCTCACAGCCTCAGAAGGAGCCAACCCTGCCAACACCTGGACTGCTGATCTCCAGAACTGAGACAATACATTTCTGTTATGAAGTCACCCAGGTAGTGGTACTTTGTTACAGCAGCCCTAGCAAACTAACACAAAAGGGTTGTTTCAAGATCAAATTTGACAATGAATGTTGCATAAAGGGCTATTTATATATTATTTTTTTACTATAAAAAAGTTAACTTGTGGCTATTTGCTGTAAGTTTATTATTAAAAGCCAGGACTTAAACCTGGAGAATAATCCAACTAATTATAAAAATATCATAGCATTTTGATACATCAAAAATAGCATGTACCAGGCTTGGTACTCAGTGTTCAGTGTGCATTTCCCCATTGGTTTGAATTATTAAGTCCTGTTATCGCCTTAATTTCTCTCATATCCTTCCATTTCTGTCACCACTTCTCCTGGTCACCACCATGTCTCACCAGCATTACTGCAACCCTCTCCTAACTGTTATCCCTGCTTCCAGTCGGGACCTCTGCAACCCATTCTTCACACCACCAGAATCAGTGGTGACTTCAGAATTTCTACGTAGGGGCGGCTTAGGGGAGACAGCCTAGTGGGAAGTGGGGCCTAGGGTGATCACGGAGGCAGTATAATGCTGTGGTCACATGTGTGGCTCTCAACCCAGACTGCATAGGTTCAAGTCCCAGCACCGCCACTTACTAATTGTGTGACCTCAAGTTCCCATCCCTTCTTGTGAAGATTGAGTTAACACCTAAAAAATCACTTAGGAGAGTGCCTGGCACCTAGGAAGCTTCCATAAGTAGTAGCTATTCTCCTTGTTTTTCTGCTGTGGTTGTATAACAAGCACATTCTTCTAACTTAGTGGCAGTGGTGGAAATTGTTGTGGGGACTACCCCTTGGTTCAGCTACTGAGCTATTGAAGATTGACTGTAAGAATGATTATAAAACTAATCATAACAATCCTCTGCTTAAAACTTCAAGTGCCTTTCCATTTCTCTCATGACAAAAACGTAACCTTTGATGTAGCCCACGTGGCCTTTCAACGGGAGTCTTGCCCTCTCTCTTCAGCCCTGCCTCTCCCAACTGGAATGCTGCCCTCCAACCACACTGAACATCATAGATGGCCACTGCCACCGGCCTTCACATATGCTGTCCGCTACCCTCTTTAAGGAGGGGGCTGGACAGCAAAGACACTGAACAGTTACATGGATGCATACCAACAGAAGGGGGACAGTGGAGTTGTGTGTTTCAGCCAAAGCGGCTGAGCCCATCTCCCTCACACCCAGGCCTCCGTGTTTCCCTCACCGAGGAAGCAGAGCCCTGCCATTTGTCAGCAAGCTCCTATCTAAGCAGGAATCACCTTGAGGCTTGTTCTGAACTGGTATTGCCCTGGGAAGCAGCTCAACTCCAGAGCGTGGAACGAGAGGCAGGCACTATCAGAGCAGCCAGATTAAATCATTCCTGTCGCTGCTTATTAAATTTTTAAAAAGATGAATAAAATATTTCATATAAATTGTTCTTACATTGCTTTTTGGTTTTTACTTCCCCAGAATAATTTCCCATAACTGTGCCACAGAAAATTTTTAATGCAGAGCTATGTCTGCCCCCCCTGCAGTGGAGCTCACAGTGCATATTCGTTAGACCCTCCTTGTAAAAGGGCCCACGTGAAAGTCAATGCTTTTGCAGGATTGGTTCATTTTGTGAACATTTATTAAGTACTTCCAATGTGAAAGGCATCGTGCTGGGCAATATGGAGGAAATACAGAGATGAAGTAACAGGGTGCCTGACCTCAAAGAACTTAGAGTGTAGGGGCCGGCCCGGTGACACTGCGGTTAAGTTCGCTTTGGCGGCCCTGGTTTGCTGGTTCAGATGCCGGGTGCGGACACTGCTTGGCAAACCATGCTGTGGTGGGCGTCCCACATGTAAAGTAGAGGAAGATGGGCATGGATGTTAGCTCAGGGCCAGTCTTCCTCAGCAAAAAGAGGAGGATTGGCAGCAGATGTTAGCTCAGGGCTAATCTTCCTCAAAAACAAAACAAAACAAAACAACATTGGGGCCGGCCCCATGGCCGAATGGTTTAGTTCGCACGCTCTGCTTCAGCAGCCCAGGATTTCTTTGGTTCTAATCCTGGGCATGGACATGGTACCGCTCGTCAAGCCATGCTGAGGCGGCGTCCCATGTGCCACAACTAGAAGCACTCACAACTAAAAATACACAACCCTGTATTTTGGGAGGGGCCTTTGGGAGGAAAAGGAAAAATAAAATCTTAAAAAGAAAAAGAGCTTAGAGTGTAACTGAGGGAAAACATACACATGCTTGCGCATACACAAACAACATGCGTGGACATATGGGCATACGTGCACACGTGCACACACACCCCACTGTAATAACACAAGGTAGCTGTGGTCAGGGCTTCAGTAGAGAGAAGAATGAG